GTGTGTGTGTGTGTGTGTGTGTGTCCACCCCATCTGAGGTCCTTCCTCTTATAACCCAATATCATCCTTTAGCTCTAAGCTAAAACCAACTTCTCCCGGCCAGGACCAATCTGAACCTTACCCCATACCACCACACCCCCCTCGAGCCTTTGGCTATCTTCTCCTTTCTTAACCACTTCCCCCCAACCCCCAGTAAGGGTTCCATGTGCTTCTGGCATGAGCACCCATTAAATCACCGCGGGGAGACCACATTTCAAAGCCCAGCCAGTGGAGTGCGGGTGACTTCTGGGTGCCACACCGATCACTCCCAAGCTCTGATCTATGATTGTTTTGATTTCCTCCTTTGAACTCTCCCCATCCCGTTCCAGCGGCAGACAGAGATACTGAATTAAGCGACAGACAAGTTGGAGACAATGAGTGCCGGGAGGGGCCCGTCCCTCCCCCATCCCTCCCCCATCCCTCCCCTCTCCTCCCCGAAATGTGCAGACATCTGCTAGCTGGAGCCCAGCGAGGGAGCCATAAAGAAGAGCTGGCAGGAGGGTGATGTACAGCCCTGGGCCCTCCCGAGTGACTGGCTTTAACCTCCAACGGAGAGACGCTCACCCCGTTTACGACGGAGCCCTTTGTTTTACACCACTCAGCAGAGGTGCCTTGGCCATGATGAAGATTTAACCAAATTATAATGAATGATCTTCGGCAGCGCTGTGCCCCTAATTAGAACAAGTCGCACAGACATATTGTCTCCCTGATTTCCTCTGTTGCATTTCTCGCACTCTCTTTCTCTGCTCGGGACACATGGGCCCCATTAAACATTCTAGTATTTAATGTGGTTCCCTTAAATTACTTCTCAAGTTTTCGAGTTCCATTTAGAATTGGATTTTACTCTTTGGACTGTGTTTTTGATTTGGGGCTTTGTACGTTTCGTAGCCGCTCTTGCTCGCCCCCTAGCGGAGACTGCGGACACCGCTTAGCTGCGCACCGGGCGGGAGGACCGATGGCCTCATCTCAGCTGATGGGAAGGTGCTCCACGGGGACCCTCTGTTAACTGGAGAGGGTACCGCTCTTGGAGAAGAAAGAACTCAATGCAAACGTGGGCTGAGACTGTTGATTTCGCCACCCTCAACCTGATGGCCTTATTCTCTGTCAAAATGAAAGCGGTGAGGAACTCCCAGGTTTATCATAATTTATATAGGAACAGGAAGAGAGTAACACCTCCTGTGGCCCATCCTGGAGGTCAGCGTAAAAAGAGGCTGAATTAACTGAATTAATGTAAGATAGTCATGGGCCTCAACTCTGCAGAATCCATGTTCTGCAGCCAAGGAGTTTCCTCCCCTCTCAAAAGCAGGAAAGAAGACTCACACAGTTTACACAGGGTGGCCACCAGGACCAGAATCGAAAGCATACAGCCGGCAATCCAGTGAGCTGAAATTCTGTCTCCCTGTGAACTTCTGTGTGTAAATTTTACCCTGAGTGTCTGGATATAGAAGCATTAGATATACATACCCACGCCCAGATAGGGATCTATAGGGAAAACTCTGGAAAGATTCCGGGGGAAGATACCATCGCCTGCAGCTGCTGGCTGGGTCTGTATGAAGATAGACTCCACACCCTTCATGTGCTCTCCAGCAGCAACTTAGAGCTCCTTAGATTCAGAAGATTCTGGGGGAAGCCTTTGAATGGGAAGGGATTTTGTGGTCCTCTGGGCCTTTCCTGATGTCTGTCCCCCTCTGCTGGGAAGCCCTCCAATGCCTGCCTGCAGGTGTTCATGTGAGCCCTGAGGACAGGACGTCTCCACATCCCAAGGCAGCTGAGAGACCTGAGAGTGGCCCCCAGGCTCCCAGTGGACTTGGGAAGGTAGAAACCCGGGGAATCCATCTGTGGATCTCAGGAAAGGCATTCAACCTCTGTGACAGCTCACTCCTTCAATACTTACTGGGTGGTGCTGCAGGTGCTGAGAACACAGTAATGTATAACTTCTTGATCATTTCAAATAATCGCCTGATCCATGACATGGAAATAATAGCTCACCTCACAAAATGAGCACATTTTTAAAGGTTGTAAGCAGTATACAGAAACTGTTCTTGTTTCCCTTGGCGACAATGATCAAAAAGATTTTCTTTGTATGTAGTGAGTTGACTTCCCTATTGCTTGCCCCTTGGGTTTTAGTTCTACCTCAGCAGAAGCACTGACTTCTCCTTCAGCTATGTACACGTCTCCCGCCAATCCTCTTGTTTTTGCATTGCCAGGCAGAATGTTCTCTGATCCTTCAGCTTCTCCTCACACCACATAATTTCTCCACCTCCCTCCATCTTAAATAACCCCCCTCTGAGCATATTCTAATTAGTCAATGGCCTTCTCAAAATCTGGTTGCCCAAAATTGAATATGATACCCCAGGTGTCATCTGACTGAAAATAAAATGAGACTGTTCCTTCCCAAGGGTACTGGGTTTCTATAAATACTTCTATCTTTTGATGTGTTGGGTTGTTAGCAATCACATCACACTGTTGGCTTTTTCTGAGCTGGTGGTCATTTAAAAGCCTCAGATATTTTTCACATGATTTCCTGCCAAGGCAATATTCCCAACTCTGGTGCTTTTGCCATTTGTTTTTAGCATGTAAACGTCAGGCTTTACATTTAGGCCTGTTCCCTTGTATCTTATTGTTGCTGACCCAGCATTCCAACCTGTCAGGACCACTCTGGGCCCTCATTCTGTCACCTCTGGTATTAACTCTCCCTCCCCGATTTGTGACATCTACACCTTTGATCAGCATGCCTCCTGAGTTTTCATGTAATGATGAATCAGACAAGATCAAGGCCATAGCCCTTGGCACGCTGAGAAGCTTCCTTGAGGGTTGACTTCCATTGTCATAGGTTGGACACAGGCCCCTTCAAGAAGTGAGAAGAAAGGGCATGGAGCTGGCTTTCGGCACAGCCGCCAATGTGACTTCCTTTTCCTCCCCCTCTGCCTCCCATCTACTTCTGCCTTCATGTTCCCCAGTCCTGAAACTGGCATCCACCTCTCTAGGCCTTCCTTGGGACCCTTCCTCTCATTTCGGCCTCCATCTTTTATCCACCTGACCCTCTCTGCTTCACCCACTGTCTCTGAGTGGCAGGCTCAGAGCTGGCTGGCACTAGTTCTGTCCATTTCTGGACTGTCCCACCCAGACTGCTGGCCTTTCACTGCAGGCCAAGCCCTTGGCCCAGGCCAACATGTGACCTCTCTCCTTACCACCCTGGTGGAGTTCAGCACACGGGCTGTGACATCCATCCAATACTCAACACTCTTTGGACTCAGCTTTTGAGCCAGCTGCAAATACACAAAACCACTGCTCTCATCCAACCCACATTTCACCATCTCAGCCGCAAGGAAACCATAAGAGAAACCGTTAACCCCTAAGCTGAAATCAAGACCTGGCTACAGAACCAAATGTTTATGGCACACACCTGATTCATAAACATAGTAACCTTATCAAAAAAGGAAATGAGGTTACTTGGGAATAACTTGTGCTCAGTGAAGTCATTTCGCTTTCAACCGACCACCACATTCCTTCCTAAATGCTCACCCACCAGCTGCTTCTTAATCCATCCTGCTTCCAGTTGTCATCTACATCAAACCTACTTGCCTAGAGTTTCCAGAAACAATTTCTTTTCCTTTTTAAAAACCAGAATAATCTCTGACCAGTTCCTGACTCTGGCAACACCTTCTATTTCCCACAATTACTTAATACTGACAATGGCCCCCCAATCTCACTGGAAAGTCCATTCCACACCTCCTGATGTGAGTCATTGGGCCACTTCCTTGGGCCTGCTTACATCAGCTTCTCGTCCCCTTCCTATCTGATCTCCTTATCTTTTTGAGCTCTGAGCCAGTCACGATGCCCTGGGCTGCAGGGAGCAGAAATCCTAGGCTCAACTGGCTTCAACAGGTAAGAAAAATTAAGTATTTCCTAAAATGAGAAGGGCTATGAAGAAGGCCTTCAGAACTGGTTACTTCAGGAGGTAGATTACATCTCCAAGGATACAGCTCTACGTTTTTGCTCTGCCATCCTCAGGTTCTCAATTTAACTCCCTCATGCCTCAAGATGGTTTTTGCAGGTCCAGTTACACCAAGCCAACACAACACTGTCCAGCAATAAGAGAAAGACTGCTGGTCTTACACATCTCTTTTTCAGAAGCAGAAAACACCAGCAGACCAATTCTCCATCTCATGGGTCAGAAGTAAGTCTCATGCCCATCCTCAAGTTGGTCACTGATGAGGAGGCTAGAACCCCAAGGATTGCCTTGGACTTCTGCATCCCAGACATAGGGGAGTGGTGGTGACACTTTAAAGTATCAGCAACCTGCCAACAAAGAGGGAAGAAGCAACCCCTGTGTGAGCCATCGCCATCTCTCTATGGGCTTTGAATCCCTACACTGTACATTGTCCGTTCTTCCCTTTCCCTCCCAGCCACGCCCTTGCCCCAAGCCAACACGTGCCTTCTCACCCCACCACCCCAGTGGAGCAGAAGAATTACACTTTCCATTTCTCTTTCACTTTTCTCTTTCTTTTTATCCAATATTATTTTCTTTTGCCCAAGCAAAAGGTCTGGGCTTTCCCAGGTCTTCACTCCCTAAACAGAGCCCCCAGCGACTCTTTACTGTCCTCAAGCTGTCTCCCTCTTTAAATCTGAGATTATTCTGAATCTTAAGCCTTCTCTTCACTGTTTCCAATGACCCCCTCCATCCTTTGGTGATGAGCTAGGGGACGCCCCTACATCCTTTTAAAGTCAAGCACTCACCACAGAGCAACCTGCCTGGCTCAAGGGTGGCTTTGCCCCCTCCCCCTCCCCTGTGTCTTCTTGGGATCAGCTCTGGCAATAGTTTTATCATGTCTTCTAGAACATTCTACCTTCCTTGATGTGGTAACTGGCTATAGAACCAAACCTCTCTGTGAACGATTCAAATGTGTTATGATTCAGCTTTGCCCAGCGGCAGTATTATAGCCAGTGAGGTTTATCCCAGGTGCAATTATCGCCAATTGAAAACTTTTCCCGATACCCCACCATGACGACTTGAAATATAGTCGGCACTGGCAATTTTTGACAGTCTCCACAGAGACTGAAAACATAAATAAATAAATAAAATGTGTTATGATGGGTACATTACGTTGTCCCACAGACCACATTTCTTTTGTGGAACTGTTCCTTATACATCACCCCTGATGCTACCTCCATCGCAGAACGAAACGGTGACCCAGGCTGGCCCAGTCACAGTATGCCATGGATCTCACAGTAGTCCTAGCTCAGAGGGGGGCAGGCGACCCAGCAATGCCAAGCAGAGATCTGGCTTGGGTTGAAAACTAGAGATTGAGAGAGGATCTAGGGCACTTTTCCAGGTGGGTTGCTAAAGTGAACAGATGCGAATCTGAACAGTTAGGCAGCTGCCTTTTTCACTTGTCAGCAGGGAGGAGGCCATAGAGGTACAAGGAGCCCTGACCGCCCGGTTGGAGATCCGGTCACAGCGATGCCTGGAGCTGCCCACCTGCAGGCTCCCAGTCAGGAGGGCCAGGCCACCCCCTTCCATCACAGGCCACTGAAGTGCCCTGATGTGACTCAGCTGCACAAACCCTGGGCACCTTTCACAGGGTCCACTGTCCTTCTTCACTATCACAGTGACTGTCTTCACTGTGACAGGGCCTCTCTCTCCCAAGGTCCCCCTAACTTCCGTGGGAGCCGCAAGCTCACCCCCAGATGTACACAGTGCAAACACACGCTCTCTTCCTCGTCTCCGCGGCCTTTTTAGAGAGGATGTCCTTTGCCACAGGTGAAAACGCCTCTGCCAGACATTCGGCTTTTAGGATGATAAGTCAGAGAGGTTGATGAATAAGATAAATAAGATGATGGCAGAGTCCCAGCCTGAGCTACGCTGGCTCCGTATCCAGGATGCTCTGGAGCCCATCAGGAGTTTATTTCTTCATGTGAGGAGCTGAGGGGACTCCTAAGAAATAACTCCGGTGACAACAGGGAGGTGGACAGAGGAGCAGGGCCTAAGCATACTGTACTGGTGGGAAGGGGGTTCTGACCACCATGCAGTCTCCCTTTGGGTTTGTCTCCTGGTCAGTCCCCCCAAATAGACTCATGCCTAGATTCTAGGAAATGAAAGACTTGGAATAAAAATGAAATATAATTAATGTTGCTGAAATTCTGTATGAAATCAGGACTCCTGTCAAAAAGCATAACAAAGAAACACCAGAAAAAAGTCTCCCTCCTTTCCCCTGGCAACATACCCAGAAAACAAGTCAATGAAGGTCTATGGTGGCCAACCTGGGGGTGGCCCCCAGCGACCCCCTATACTTGCCTTTGTGTAGTCCCCACCCAGACTGTATCAGGGTTAGTCTGTGACCAACTGAGTGTGCTTGAAATTATATTATGTCGGCTA